ACACTTTCTCCAAGATAAGTTGTTAAAAAAAACTTTGAAGTCCTCTTCATTCCTGATCCTGCCATAAAAGTGCAGAAAAATACTGCAATATGACCCACTATGGCCGACCCAACTTTGATGACAGCTCTTACCTAGGCCCCTACTTTACTGAGTGACATGAAAATGACGATGTAGTTGCATTTCTCACATGGCGTCTGTTTAGAGAGTCATGAATAGCTACGATACCTCCACTACATGAATAGCAAGTCCTTTGATTTACATTTGATACTCTAGCCAAAAAATTGACAACTGACAAAGCATCTTAGAAAAAGAACTGCACTAAGCTTCTGGTCTAGGGGCTAGTACGAGCACACTTTTACTAGCCCAGCATGAATTTTCACTAGTCTTGGGCTAGTGGACTAGCATTAGTGTTGAGCACTGTTGACTAACTGCCTACTGGGTAATACATTGACTCACTAAAAATAACACAGTGTGACTGACTCTACTGACCGAGAACTGAGCAACACACTAAATTAATGATTTACAAATCTATGGCTGCACTGTCTGTAATGCTGTTTGACTGACTGAATAACTGACTCTACTGTCAGAGAACGGATCAACCCACTGAATGATTATATAGCTGGTTGACTGACAGTCTGAATAACTGACTTTCCTGATTTGTGGCTGATCAATCGACTGACTGATCGACTAAGGGTTTACTGTGTAATACATTGACTCACTAAAATACTGTGTGACTGACTCTACTGTCCAAGGGCTGACCATCACACTTAATGATTTACAAATGTATCTCTGGCTGATTGACTGAATATGATCTGTCTCTACTGTCTGACGACTTACCAACTGACTGAATAATTTGTGGCTGGCTGATTGCATGACTAGCTAACTCTGATACTCTCTGGGGACTAACCAACTAACTGAATGATTTATGGCTGGTTGATTGGCTGACTAGCTGACTTTACTGTCCAGGGACTGACCAACTGACTGAATGATTTATGGCTAGTTGACTGACTGAGCAACTGACTGTACTGACCAGAGACTAACCAGCTGACTAAACGATCTATGGCTGCTTGATTGACTGAATATCTGACTCTAATGTCTGTCGACTGACCGACTAACTGAATGACTTATGGCTGGTTGATTGACTAACTAGCTGACTCTACTGTCCAGGGACTGACTAACTGACCCAATGTATTATGGCTGGTTGATAGACTGATTAACTGACTTAAATGTCTGTCGACTGACCAACTAACTGAATGATTTAAGGCTGGTTGATTAACTAACTTACTCTACTGTCTAGGGACTTACCAAATAATTAAATGATTTAATTGGCTGGTTGATTGACTAAATAACTGACTCTACTGTCTGGGGATTGACCAATTGACCGAATGATTTCTGGCTCATTAATTGACTGACTAACTGACTCAACTGTCCAGGAACTGACCATCTGACTGATTGATTTGTGGCTGATTGAGTAACTGATTGACTAAGGGCTTACTAGGTATTACACCTGTACATTGACTCACTAAAATACTATGTGACTGACTCTACTGTCCCAGGACTCACCAACACGTTAAATAATTCACAAATGTATCTCTGGCTGATTGACTGAATAACTGACTCTGCTGTCTGATGACTGCCCAACTGACTGAATAATTTATGGCTGGTTGATCGCGAGACTAGCTAACTCTACTGTCCAGGGACTAACCAACTAACTGAATGATTTATGGCTGGTTGATTGACTGAGCAACTGACTCTACTGTCCAGGGACTGACTAACTGACTGAATGATTTATGGCTGGTTGATTGACTGACTAACACACTCTACTGTCCAGGGACTGACCAGATGATTAAATTGTTTAATTTGCTGGTTGATTGACTAAATAACTGACTCTACCGTCGGGGGACTAACCAATTGAATGTGTGATTTATGGCTGATTGATTGACTTACTAAATGACTCTACTGTCCAGGGACATATAATACTGAATGATTGAATGATTTAATTAACTGGTTGAGTGACTGAATTACTGACTCTACTGTCTTGGGACTGACCAACTGACTGAATGATTTATGGCTAAATGGTTTGACTGACTAACTGACTCTACTGTCCAGGACTGACCATTTGACTGAGTGATTTGTGGGTGATTAATTGACTTCAATTGATTGACTAAAGGGCTTACTGGGTAAGACATTGACTGACTAAAATAATTTATAGTACTGTTCAAAAGTAAGTTGACACTCTATTCTCGATACTCGTGAGAATTGATTCTTGATTGTTGCATCTCAATTCTCAATTTTCAATTCCTGTTCAACTCGTCAAACCGGTATGGCCTTTGTTTATAATCGATTATAGATGGTTTTGTGCCAAGAAATTTGCTCTCTACTCTCAATACTCGATTGTGGCGAGAATCTAACAACCTTAGTTCAAGTTTTGAGCAATATTCTACATGAAATTTCTCTCATGTCAAAAAAGTCTTTCTACTCTATAACATAACAAACTCTACCCAGCGTGCGATAAATGCCTGAACTATGCAAGTTATATAGTAGCAGTTGACATTTGCATTTGCTCGCACTGCTTGGTTGACACTTCGTGTCGAAATCTTAAAAATGTTTGGACAACATTTTGTATCATTTAAATAGCAGAAGTTGTCAGTAATAGTTGGACCTGAAAAGCAATCTGTGACTTTTTATCTGTAAAATCCAACTATACATGTAAAAGGAAACGTGTGAATACACGACGGTGTGTAAACAAAGTCTCAAGGCACTTCTTGTTGCTTTAGAATTTTACTTGTCGATATTTTTTCAATTGCCTGTTTGTGAATGTCCTTCGGCATTATTGCAGTTGAATGTCTGATTATCTGTGTCTACAGTCTGAGGATGTTTTTTTTTCGCTGGAAGCTTTGCTTGTAATTTGACCTCTTGACTAGAATTGCTGTTTTCGTGATAGAAGCCATTGTGGAGAAGTTCCCTATATGATAGCATCTGGGTTTGATATTTTGCCCCTTGCTTTTTATGGGACGTGATTGCTTGCATAAAAAGTTTCGATTTGAATATACATCTAAAGCTTCAGAAAACTGCAGAAACGTTCAAGAGCTTTGAAAACAAGAATGGCCAAAAGGCGATTTTAACTGGCTGCCAAATTTCTTGGGGGAGAGGGTGGCTGCACACACTCAGGCCACCAGGCTTGTCACTGACTCTTGTGTGACATAGCATCTCATGTGAGAGTGAAACATTTACTTATTTGAACATTGTACCCTTTTGGAAGACTTTAGTAACAAGAAAAATGAGTGCCATTTTAAGTCGGGGCTGTATAGTACCTTTTCAAATTCCACCATTATGAATAAAAATAAGCAAGTGAGCCATTCTAAGCAGGAAACAATAAGCATTATTTTCAGCCCCCCAAACATAGTGTGACTAATTTGACCTACGGTAACCAGAAATTCCAAAAATTATTTTTTCTACGGGTCATAAAACGCTGTTAATAACAAGCAGTACATTTCTCAATTCTGGTTCTTAAAACTAACAAAGCAAATTAAATTTAAGTTTTGTTTTTGTCTGATATTGCTTTATTAAGCCTTTCTAACTGTCCTAGTGCAGGGTCCAAAATTAACTTTTTAATACGGGCGCCAGCTGGCAATCAAGTATAAATTTTTGGTCGCCAGAGGGCAAATTGTGGTCGCCAAAAATTTCCCCTCCCTTTTTTTCAAATAAAAGTTTAAACACGAATAAAAAATGCATGGTATGGACGTTTTTATGCTCAAAAATTGCACTACTTTTGCTCTTGATACCAGAAAGCAACCCTATGTGTGCAAGTGAAGTCCTATTTTTTCCACAAATTACTTTTTGTAGATATAAAGCTATCAGACCTAGAACGTAGGAACAGAAAGCTCTCTGCCCATGACTGCACTGATCATATCAAAACTCTATTTTCTTCCGATAACTACCACGAAACACGAAACATAGACACGAGCCAAGCTGCCATGTTGCTCATACCAGGCCAAACTGTGCCACAGTACCACAAAATACATAACGTACTTACCGTATTTTAGCTGAAAACAACATGGCGGCTTGGAAACGTCACAACTCGTATTGATCGTAGCTATTGTGGAGGTATTATTACAGAAAGCTTCGTTTCACTTTTAATTAAAAAATATCAGCAGGACAAAAAGTAAGACACTTGTTGGCCAAGTAGCTTTGTCGTTTCAATTCTTAATCAGTTTCTCCGAACGTTAAAGTCCACAGTAACAACCAGCTTTACAAGTCGCTAGCTGGCAACCAGCTATCAAATTTTGGTCGCCAGGACTAAATTTTCAGTCGCATTGGCGACCAGGAAGGCTCAATTTCGGACCGTGTAGTGAATATATATATAACAATTATTCACTGAAGTGGAGGTGGCTAGTGGTGCATAGTTACCAAGCCACGGAGCAGCGATTGTTAAACTGATTGACTGACTGGCTGACGGAATGAATGATTGAATAACTGACAGAATTACTGACTGATTGAACACCTCACCTAGTGTCTGACTAACTTCAACTAACCAACTGTCTGACTGAGCTGAAAAGGCCATCGACTAGCTGTCTGGCTATCTGACTTGACAGACTGACTAACTGACTGAGTGACTGACTGTGTAAGGAGAGGAGGGGACTGTTATTAAAGGAGGACTACCTAGCTAGTACAGTCAATGGGTGGGTGTTAATTTATTATAATTATATGTGGTAAATTATTCCAACATGTTTGCTCACTGGTATTCATGAAAATATGATGCTTTCAAACCTCTTTAATATGGGCACTAAGTGGACCATAATAACAAGTTGTCTGTATTGAGCAGATTGATTTATTGATTAGAGAAAGATTAAGGCTTTCTTTTCCTGGGGATAAAGTAGTGTCTGTAATAATAAGCTGTCCGAACTAAGCGGGTGTCTGTAAAGCAAGGTTTGACTTTAATGGGAAATTAGTCTGTTCTGAAAATAACTGATGAGCTTCGTTGAATATTTTAAACTTTTGTTTCCAGATCAGATGCCACAGAAAGACTGGACAAGGACCTTCATGAGCCAAGGGCCTCTGTTATCTTAAGTAATGTAAGTGGTGTATGTTTTGTGTTTTAATCCAGCTCTTAAGTAAACCAGATAAACAGAACTGTTTGGTTGAAAGTTTCATGAAGTGACTGACTGATCAAATGTGCTTAGTATACTTCTAACTATTCAACTAACCATTTTGACTGACTGACTGAGCAACTTAGTTACAACTTAGCATCTTACAGTACCAAGACACTGACTAATTGAGCAATTGACTGACTCACCACTGACTGTGCAACTGAGTACCTGACTGGCTGACAGAATGACTGATTGAGCAACTGACTGACTGACTGTGCAGTTGGGTTCTTGACCAGTTGACAGAATGACTGATTGAGCAACTGACTGACTGACTGTGCAATTGGGTTCTTGACCAGCTGACAGGATGACTGATTGAGCAACTGACTGACTGACTGTGCAATTGGGTTCTTGACCAGCTGACAGGATGACTGATTGAGCAACTGACTGACTGACTGTGCAGTTGGGTTCTTGACCAGCTGACAGAATGACTGATTGAGCAACTGACTTACTGACTGTGCAGTTGGGTACCTGACTGGCTGACAGGATGACCGATTGAGCAACTAACTGAATAACTGACTGTGCAGCTGGGTACCTAACTAACTGATAGAATGACTGATTGAGCAACTGACTGAATAACTGACTAAACTGAGTACCTTACCAAGTTACTGACTAACTGCAACCAACTGACTGACTGACTGAGCAACTGACTTAGGAACTGACTGGAGTCTGCAAAGCAGGGGTCAATTAAATAAAACTTTTGCAAGTGTAATTTACAAGTGTATCCATTGTTTAGAGTCTGTGTTAATCACACCCTGAACAAATAAACTTCTTTACTCCATTCCAATGAACTTCAATTTTCTGTTTTCTCGTACAGCAGTTTCTGATAATAGCAATCAAGCCAAAAGAAAGCTATACATAATCAAACCAAACAATAAATACAAAACAAAGAAATGTACACAGAGAAAAACCTAAAGAAATAAACTAAAGGAATTAAAAACACACACCTGACGGCGAAGATATTATCCAACGGTGATGGATAATACATGGATATATATATAATATATGGATAATACGCAATGGTATACAAGCGATCCTCGAGTAATGGTCACAAACGTTACACTAAATGGCAGGATATTAGTGACCTGGGTCCCATTTCTCAAAATAGCCCTGATGATTAATGGGCCCTGTAGGCTGTCGCTATATACATTAAATATCGGGGTTTCAATAGTTTTGCATCTAAAATGATAAAACTATCAGTTAATGAAACAAAATGGAGTAGTTCACTAGCCAGGAGCCGCACTCTTATTCTTTATATTTCGGTTTGAATATTTGATTTTGAGCCCAAAAAGTTACTGGGACTTTTGAGAAACAGGCCTCTGGAACTTAAATTAAGCCCAAAAAACCACTGGTCCTAAATCAGTGGAAACAGTCTGAAATTATATTCCTACAGCTGTACACTTGTAAAATTATAATTGTAAAAGTTCTATAAAATTGATACCAGTAGTGTTATTTGCAAGTACAGTCAAGGGGTGGGTGTTAATTATTATTTTATCGTTATAATCATATGTGGTAAATTATTCCAACATGTTTGTCCACTGGTATTCATGAAAATGTGATTGAGTCAAACCTTTTAAATATGGGCACTTAAAGGGGGCCATAGAAAGTGTCCATATTAACGGGATGTCTAGATTAAATAGCTTCAGTTTAGAGGGGGCTTTCTTTTCTCAGGGACAAAGCAAAGAGTCCGTAATTATAAGGTTTCTGTATTAAGTGGGTGTCCATAAATCAAGTTTTGAACATTAATGGGAAATTGGTCTGTTCTGAAAATAACTTATGAGCTTCATTGAATATTTTAAATTTTTGTTTCCAGATCAGATGCCACAGAAAGACTGGACAAGGACTTTCACGAGCAAAGAGCCTCTGTTATCTTCAGTACTGTATGTGCTCTATGTTTTGCTTTGTAATCCAGCTCTTGAGTGAACCAGATAAACAGGATTGTTGGCCAGGTGATTTCAAAGTTTGATTAAGCTAATCCAGGGAAAGCTGTTGTAATATAATTATATCGTGCCTAATTCTTTAATTTCACAGTTATTTCACCATCAAGTGTACCACTTTTGGGAGTACAAGTGTGTCAATATTACTTTTTCCAGTCAAAGAACAACAACAATATTAACTAAAAAAATGTCCAAAATAAATGCAACATAAAAGAGCAAAATTCCAAAATAAAATTAAATCAAGTATAGTTGTACAGTTTGGTCAACATTATTGTGATGAAAATATAATGATTTAACCCAGGATCATCCAATTGAGTGCAGTCCTGTAAGAACAGGTACAGCTGTTGGGGATTCAGTGACTGGCATTTCTAAAATGTATTTAAAAGAAATCAACAGGATCAAACAAATTTTTTTTTATTGACTTCTGAATAAATAATATTGGTACTTCAAGACCAAGCAAATGAGACCATTATTTTTAAGGGATACATTCAGCATTTCTGTTGAACTTTGTATGAATTGGACATTTTACATTAAATAAATGCTTGCAATCGCCAGTTTTATGTCTGCAGGGAATCACAATACAAAACAGCTGAAACGCATTGAAATCTTTTTGGTTTCAAGAACAAAATTATTTGATTGATTGCTAAAATTCCAAGAGACATGCACTTGTTGGGGAAGTACTCATGATCAGAAAACTTAAACGCAAAAACCGTGGTCATTAGAAGTTTTTTCCTGGATTAGCATTTGTCGACTTTGTTCAACTGTCACAACGTTTAAATCAATAGCCAAGTTCTGCTGATATAATAATAATAATAATAATAATTATATGCAATCCATATTATTATTATTATTATCATTATTATTATAAGGTTGTTATTATAGTACCTGTTGGTGCAGATATGCAGTCCATATTTTACCCTTCAAATTTCTTGCCATGTTGATCTATTCAAATGACTGTCTGACTTAAGAACTGAATGGGATGACTGTGATGACAAGGATAACTAGCATGACTACTATAACTGGGATGACTGGAATTACTGGAATAAATAACATGACTGGGACTGCTAACTTCTATGACTGGAATGACTGGGATGATACTGATGACTGGGATGACAAAGATGACTGGGATTTTTGGGATTACTGACATGGCTAGGATGACTGGGATGACTAGGGTGACTCAGATGACCAGGATGACTGGGATGAATAAGATTACTGAAATGACTGGGATAACTGGAATGACTGGGAATGACTGGGATGACTGAGATGAAGAAAATGACTGGGATTTTTTGGGATTACTAACATGATTGGGATGACTAGGGTGACTGGGATGACTAAAATGAGTGGGATTACTAGAGTGACTAGGATGACTGGAATGACTAAGATGACTGGGGTGACTAGGACGACTAGGATAACTGGGACGACTAGGGTCACTAGGATGACTGGGATGATTAGGGTGACTGGGATGACTGAGATGACTAGGATGACTTGGGTTACTAGGATGACTGGGATCACTAGGACGGCTTGAATGGCTGGGATGACACTGCTGACTGAGATGACTCAGATGACTTGGATTTTTGGGACTACTAACATGACCAGCATGGAATGACTAGGCTGACTGGAATGACTGATTAAGATGACTAGGAAAACAAGGGTGACTAGGACGACTGGGTTGACTGGGATGACTAGGATCACTAGGATGACTGGGACAACTAGGACGACTGGGATGACTAGAATGACTGGGATAACTGGGATCACTTGTATGACTAGGGTGACTGGGATGACTGGGATCACTCGGATGACTAGGGTGACTGGGATGACTAGGACGACTAGGATAACTGGGATCACTAGGATGACTAGGGTGACTGAGATGACTGGGATCACTAGGATAACTAGGGTGACTGGGTTGACTAGGACGACTGGGATAACTGAGATCACTTGTATGACTAGGGTGACCGGGATGACTGGGATCACCAGAATGACTAGGGTCACTGGGATGACTAGGACGACTGGGATGACTAGGATGACTGGGATAACTGGGATCACTAGGATGACTAGGGTGACTGGGATGACTGGGATCACCAGGATGACTAGGGTGACTGGGATGACTAGGATGACTGGGATAACTGGGATCACTAGGATGACTAGGGTGACTGGGATGACTGGGATCACTAGGATGACTAGGGTGACTGGGATGACTAGGGTGACTGGGATGACTGGCATAACTAGGATGACTAGGGTGACTGGGATAACTGGGATCACTAGGATGACTAAGATAACTGGGATCACTAGGATGACTAGGGTGACTGAGATGACTGGGATCACGAGGATAACTAGGGTGACTGGGTTGACGAGGACGACTGGGATAACTGGGATCACTTGTCTGACTAGGGTGACCGGGATGACTGGGATCACTAGGATGACTAGGGTGACTGGGATGACTAGGACGACTGGGATGACTAGGATGACTGGGATAACTGGGATCACTAGGATGACTAGGGTGACTGGGATGACTGGGATCACCAGCATGACTAGGGTGACTGGGATGACTAGGATGACTGGGATAACTGGGATCACTAGGATGACTAGGGTGACTGGGATGACTAGGATGACTGGGATAACTAGGATCACTTGGATGACTAGGGTGACTGGGATGACTGGGATAACTAGGATGACTGGGATAACTGGGATCACTAGGATGACTAGGGTGACTGGGATGACTGGGATCACCAGCATGACTAGGGTGACTGGGATGACTAGGATGACTGGGATAACTGGGATCACTAGGATGACTAGGACGACTGGGATGACTAGGATGACTGGGATAACTAGGATCACTTGTATGACTAGGGTGACTAGGATGACTGGGATAACTAGGATGACTAGGGTGACTGGGATAACTGGGATCACTAGGATGACTAAGATAACTGGGATCACTAGGATGACTAGGGTGACTGAGATGACTGGGATCACGAGGATAACTAGGGTGACTGGGTTGACGAGGACGACTGGGATAACTGGGATCACTTGTCTGACTAGGGTGACCGGGATGACTGGGATCACCAGGATGACTAGGGTGACTGGGATGACTAGGACGACTGGGATGACTAGGATGACTGGGATAACTGGGATCACTAGGATGACTAGGGTGACTGGGATGACTGGGATCACCAGGATGACTAGGGTGACTGGGATGACTAGGATGACTGGGATAACTGGGATCACTAGGATGACTAGGGTGACTGGGATGACTAGGATGACTGGGATAACTAGGATCACTTGTATGACTAGGGTGACTGGGATGACTGGGATAACTAGGATGACTGGGATAACTAGGATCACTTGTATGACTAGGCTGACTGGGATGACTGGGATAACTAGGATGAGTGGGATAACTGGGATCACTAGGATGACTAGGGTGACTGGGATGACTGGGATCACCAGCATGAGTAGGGTGACTGGGATGACTAGGATGACTGGGATAACTGGGATCACTAGGATGACTAGGACGACTGGGATGACTAGGATGACTGGGATAACTAGGATCACTTGTATGACTAGGGTGACTGGGATGACTGGGATAACTAGGATGACTGGGATAACTAGGATCACTTGTATGACTAGGGTGACTGGGATGACTGGGATAACTAGGATAACTAGGGTGACTGGGATAACTGGGATCACTAGGATTACTAGGGTGACTGAGATGACTGGGATCACTAGGATGACTAGGGTGACTGGGATGACTAGGACGACTGGGATAACTGGGATCACTAGGATGACTAGGGTGACCGGGATGACTGGGATCACCAGGATGACTAGGATGACTGGGATGACTAGGACAACTGGGATGACTAGGGTGACTGGGATGACTAAAATGACTGGGATGACTAGAGTGACTAGGATGACTGGAATGGCTAAGATGACGGGGGTGACTAGGACGACTAGGATAACTGGGACGACTAGGGTCACTAGGATGACTGAGATGATTAGGGTGACTGGGATGACTGAGATGACTAGGATGACTTGGGTTACTAGGATGACTGGGATCACTAGGACGGCTTGAATGGCTGGGATGACACTGCTGACTGAGATGACTCAGATGACTTGGATTTTTGGGACTACTAACATGACCAGCATGGAATGACTAGGCTGACTGGAATGACTGATTAAGATGACTAGGAAAACAAGGGTGACTAGGACGACTGGGTTGACTGGGATGACTAGGATCACTAGGATGGCTGGGACAACTAGGACGACTGGGATGACTAGAATGACTGGGATAACTGGGATCACTTGTATGACTAGGGTGACTGGGATGACTGGGATCACTAGGATGACTAGGGTGACTGGGATGACTAGGACGACTAGGATAACTGGGATCACTAGGATGACTAGGGTGAATGAGATGACTGGGATCACTAGGATAACTAGGGTGACTGGATTGACTAGGACGACTGGAATAACTGGGATCACTTGTATGACTAGGGTGACTGGGATGACTGGGATCACCAGGATGACTAGGGTGACTGGGATGACTAGGACGACTGGGATGACTAGGATGACTGGGATAACTGGGATCACTAGGATGACTAGGGTGACTGGGATGACTGGGATCACCAGCATGACTAGGGTGACTGGGATGACTAGGATGACTGGGATAACTGGGATCATCAGGATGACTAGGGTGACTGGGATGACTAGGATGACTGGGATAACTAGGATCACTTGTATGACTAGGGTGACTGGGATGACTGGGATAACTAGGATGACTGGGATAACTGGGATCACTAGGATGACTAGGGTGACTGGGATGACTGGGATCACCAGCATGACTAGGGTGACTGGGATGACTAGGATGACTGGGATAACTGGGATCACTAGGATGACTAGGATGACTAGGACGACTGGGATGACTAGGATGACTGGGATAACTAGGATCACTTGTATGACTAGGGTGACTGGGATGACTGGGATAACTAGGATGACTAGGGTGACTGGGATAACTGGGATCACTAGGATGACTAAGGTAACTGGGATCACTAGGATGACTAGGGTGACTGAGATGACTGGGATCACTAGGATAACTAGGGTGACTGGGTTGACTAGGACGACTGGGATAACTGGGATCACTTGTCTGACTAGGGTGACCGGGATGACTGGGATCACCAGGATGACTAGGGTGACTGGGATGACTAGGACGACTGGGATGACTAGAATGACTGGGATAACTGGGATCACTAGGATGACTAGGACGACTGGGATGACTAGGATGACTGGGATAACTGGGATCACTAGGATGACTAGGGTGACTGGGATGACTGGGATCACCAGCATGACTAGGGTGACTGGGATGACTAGGATGACTTGGATAACTGGGATCACTAGGATGACTAGGGTGACTGGGATGACTAGGATGACTAGGATGACTGGGATAACTAGGATCACTTGTATGACTAGGGTGACTGGGATGACTGGGATAACTAGGATGAGTGGGATAACTGGGATCACTAGGATGACTAGTGTGACTGGGATGACTGGGATCACCAGCATGAGTAGGGTGACTGGGATGACTAGGATGACTGGGATCACTAGGATGACTAGGATGACTGGGATGACTAGGACGACTGGGATGACTAGGGTGACTGGGATGACTAAAATGACTGGGATGACTAGAGTGACTAGGATGACTGGAATGGCTAAGATGACGGGGGTGACTAGGACGACTAGGATAACTGGGACGACTAGGGTCACTAGGATGACTGAGATGATTAGGGTGACTGGGATGACTGAGATGACTAGGATGACTTGGGTTACTAGGATGACTGGGATCACTAGGACGGCTTGAATGGCTGGGATGACACTGCTGACTGAGATGACTCAGATGACTTGGATTTTTGGGACTACTAACATGACCAGCATGGAATGACTAGGCTGACTGGAA